CAAAACCACCATATGATTATGAGAGACGCAGTAGTGGAGGGCTCCGGAAATTTCGACCACCTGGGGTTCGTTAACGTGCACCCAAATCTGAGTACACGGGCCTACAACATTTCCGTTTCCATCGGAAATGCAGCCGCCGCAGCCGGGATTTGAACCCGCGACCTGCGGGTCAGCAGCCGAGTACCTTAGCCACTAGACCACCGCGGTGGGGCAATATCTCATACATAGCCTCGCTGTTAACTCGACTCGCAAGAGAAGACATTTCGTTCACATGGGGCGACGATCAACAAGCGGCATTTGACGATCTCCGACAAGCCTGCAGACGCCTCCTGTGCTTGCTCATTTTAACGAGGACGCTCCTACCATGGTCCACACAGGACGCTCCTACCATGGTCCACAAATATTTATTTATTTATTATTTATTATTTATTTTTTATGGTCTGTTATATTTTCTCTTAAATTCATTGTATCATCCATTTTGTATTCTTGCAAATTTGATTATTCCTTTAATTTTTTTCTCGATGTTTGCATATTTGTTTATTGTAATGTTCCCCACCTGCTTGGTCTTCAGTGACCGCAGTATTTTCTAAATAAAAATAAAAATAAAAAAATAAAATGCCAGAAACGTGGGTTTAGGTGCTGTACTCGTCCAGTGGCAAGACTCAGCCGAGCGGGTGATCGCATATGCTAGTAGGACGCTCTCCCGCGCCGAGTCCAACTACTCCACAACAAAAAAAAAAAGAGTGTCTTGCGGTCATATGAGCGGTTTTGAAGATTCGTCCGTACCTCTATCGTCGTTCCTTCCACCATTCCCTTTGCTGGCCGACCAACTTGAAAGACCCGTGTGGTCGGCTTGCACGGTGGAGCTTACGCCTTCAATAATTTGATATGATGGTGGTGTATAAGTCCGGGCGGCAGCACGCCGACACCGATTGCTTATCATGGTCACGGATAAAACGCACGATGACACTGAAGATGACGACATGCCGTTTTTAGGAGTCGTCGACGTCACTACGATTTCGCGCAAGCAAAAGGAAGACAGCGCGTTGCTTCCTTTTAAGAAATTTTTGAATGGCCAGACAACAGCCCTCCCTAGAATATTTGCAAGAAGCCTGCCGTCATTCTGCTTACGCAGTGGTGTTCTATATAAGAAGAACTTTTCTCCCAGAGGAAGCACCCACCTACTTGTCATCCCGACGTCGATCCGTGAAGAGATACTCTGATACACACGCACATTGGCCACAATCCAACAGAAATACTACTGGTCAAGACTTCCAGCTATTGTGAAAAATAACGTGCGTACGTGCCTCGATAGCCAACGACAAAAATCGCCACCGTTAAAACCAGCTGGAGTATTACAACCAATTCAAGTGCCCATGGTACCTTTTCCCCAAATTGGAATGGATCTCCTCAGACCATTTCCGACCTCCCACGCTGGCAACAGGTGGGTAATAGTTGCCCCTGATTATCTTACGCGCTACGTGGAAACAAAGGCTTTGTCAAATGGCACCGCCATTGAAACCGCACGATTATTCTTAGAAAATATCGTCCTGAGGCACGGTGCTCCGACAATTATAATAACAGATCGAGGTACCGCTTTCACGGCTCCTCTCCCGAAGACAGCGCTTGAGCTCAGTAAAATAGCCCATGGGAAAACCACTTCATATCACCCCCAAACGAACGGCTTAACAGAACGCCTCAAGAAGACTATTGCCGACATGTTGAGTGTGTACATTGACGTGGATCACACTAACTGCGACGACATTCTACCGTACATCACGTTCGCCTATTATATAGCACAGCAATAAACTACACGAAGAACACCGTTTAGTCTCATTCATGGCCATGAAGTGACGACGATGCTCGAGGCCATGTTACTACACGACTGCAATGACATCGATTCGGACGCTGCATCTTTTACCCAACGAGCAGAAGAAGCGAGGCAGCTTGCGCGTGTCCGAATCACCCAGCAGCAAAATTACGACGCCCAACATTATAATCTGCGACACCGACATCTCATCCATCAGCCCGGCGAGAAAGTGTGGGTATGGAATCCTATCCGCTGCCGGGGACTTGCTGAAAAATTTCTGAAGAGGTATTTTGGCCCCTACGCAGTTGTACAACGCCTGAGTGACGTTAATTACGTGGTCGCTCCTGACAGTCCCTCGAGAACTCGCCAGCAAAAACCAGAAATCACACGTAGTGCGAATGAAGCCCTATCGTTTGGACTGATTTGCACCACACATCTACTGCACTGTCCTTTGTAGGAGAGCTTCGGGACGCTGCTCTCTGGAGGGGGGTTAATGCCGCATTGAATATGCAGCACCAAGAGAACAACGAAGAGCCCGCGCAGCGAGAGAGAAAGGCGAGGTTCTCATTCGATACCAATCAGTTTGCCAGTGTTCTGGTATAATTGAAGTGAGTTGTCTTGTGTAATAATATACAGAGTAAGAATATATATATATATATATATATATATATATATATATATATATATATATATATATATATATATATATATATATATATATATATAATATATATACTTTTTACTTTATATTGTTTGGCTCAGACATCGTCGCGCCAAAATTAGCGTCAGATTCAGTCACTCGGTTCAACGGACGGTAAGAAAAAAGAAAGTGCGACAACCCGGCAACCGATAGCGTCAGAGGAAGTAACGTGGTCCGACCTCGACTCATTGAATTATTTGCATTAAATTCCAAGGCATACGACGTGCTTATCATTTGGGAAATTGAGCTCTTCTTGGACCGCAGAACTTTATCGGTGCCATCTGAACCTTCAATAACGCACGTGACAATACGTTTAAGAACATCTAATTTTACTGAACATAACATTCACAATCATCGCCTATAATCAAGCTTTTTACTATAATGCACTCGCAAAATTATATCTCACAACCTAATTTCTACCTTCCACAAAAAATTGCGACCACCTTTCCATTTAACTAAACTATAATGGAGCAACGTTATGCTACACATGATATAATAAACATGAAATGAGTTGAAACAAAGAAGGCACCCATGCACTTCACACTTGATCCCTTTCCACTGGCCACTGTCATCGGTGAAGCAATAATCGATATTCGTTGACACACTTGACCACTAACGCGATTACAAACAAGCGATTCCATTCATGGTTTCTCACACTTGCAAGATTAGCGCACAATAGTCAGAATTGTTCACCAGCACATCCGCTTGACTCTTTGGTCCCTATTTTTAAACAAAAAATTAACAATGGAAGTGACTTTAGTGATCAATAATTCACGAAAACAACAGATAATAAAAGTGGTGAGCTAGTTTCGCGTGCTTGTATACGTTTCGGCAAGAGCGAGTGGGAAAGCGTTAAGGGCTTTCGGACAACTTACATCACTTTCGATCAAGAGCGGCAGGACGAGACGCTAAGAAAGAAGTCTACCCTGTCCGCACAACTTTAAGGAAGTTGAACCTGTATTAACTCGCCCGGTTTCGAATGCAATTTGCGCCGCAAGTATATTAATAAAGAAAGAGAAACGAGGAGGCATACATTCCTTCACTACAGCCTAGCTCTGCAACGAAAGATTAGAGACTGCAGCAGCCTACAAGCTCTGGCAATGTTTACTATAATTAATGCATTGTGGTACTCACCAGTGAGTACAAACTGCGCTGACCCATAAATGATGCTCAAATGATAAAACAGGTTATTTGAGTGACGCGAATATTTTGGTGACAGTCAGCAATGGGAAATGAATGCGGAAAATGGCACGTAACCGCTCTAAACAAACAAACAAAGAAAGCGTTTGGCGCAACGCTTGAAGGTGAAAGCCTGGTGAACACTTGGTATAATGCGTTAAGGTATACAGTCGGGGACCGCACTTTTTGTAAGACATAATGACCCGCAGTGAGAGACACGAATTAAATGCCGCTGACGTTCTGAGTGCGGGGCGATTGTTCCTCCTCCCTCCGAAGACTTCTGAACCTCACGCGGTGTTACATTACCTCCTGGAACGGCCCACCTTCGACCAATAAGCGACGACACCATGTCATAACGTCGTCTTGTTAAGTTACGAAGACGTAAGAAATTTCAGTGCCCTGTGAAGTCCGTGATGTCAGAAGGCGTTCCTTCTCTGTACAGCTGTCATTCGGATAAGGTGACATGGATTATTGCACAATTTTTTTTCGCATGCGTGTTTGGCACAGAGTCACTGCTTAACGAACCACTGAAATGCTATCAACTTAAAAAAAACTGATTAGTTGACGACAGGTTGTTCGCGAAAAAAGATGGTGATGATTTTTTGGGTGCGCTTGCTTGCTTGAAGAAGCAACACGTGGGCATGACGAGTGCTGCAGTGGATCAATGATGCATTTTAGGTGATCGCCAGAACTTAGATGAGACATTTTTGCGAAGTCTGTACGAGAAGAGTTTGATATGGTTTTACTTCTTACTCATTGACGTGGCTTATTGGAGTTGGATATGAACTTTTCAAAGTTATGATGCCACAAGCTGTATACATGATGAGAATGAGATTTCCGCATACCTAAGCTTTTTAGTCATGCAACTCCTGTGCTCGGGTCTTTAAATGTACAATTTGCATTACGTTTTTTTTTTTGGTCTATCACCCAACAGATCAGAAACACCCTTCCCCCTAATTTTCTTCTTTGTTGAAGTATGAGCGAAAAAAAAAAAACTTTTACCCACGAACTTTTTTCCAATGAATACGGCCTGTACAACCAAGGACTCCACACTAGGGATGTTTCGAAATGAAAAAAGGGGGATTTAATGTTTCAATGTTACTAAGGCACATGGTAAATTATTTTCCCCAATGAAAGTGCATTGCTAATTTCTGTGGTTTAGAGAAAGCACCACAAGCAGTGACGCAACTGTGGCCTCGTCTAAAGCACCTAAAGAGTATACTGAACCAGGGGTGCAAATTCTTTTAACGAAAAAAAAAAGTGATAATGGCATCTCGTTAGAAAGATGACGTATTGAACTTTCTAGGTTTGTTTTGTGTAATGGCACTTACGTAGTGCAGGCAAAGCCCGGAAAGCAGTTTATTTCCCGATTAAGAAAGTATTTACAAATTACCAGCTAAACAAAACTTACATACTGAACAAATTTTATTCGCCTTCTATACTCAGGCACCTTTCCTTTGCGCTCATTGAGCTCACTCGGATAACAATGAATATGCTGAAATCTGCGAAAACAGACTTTCCTTAGCTGTAATCCTCGTGGCCCTACCTATCTCTCTGCTCAGTCGACCACAGTGATTAAACTTGTTCAGGTGTTCAGAGAAAAAAAAAAGAAAGAGTAAAGAATAAAAATAAAGCTAGTTTCTCAACATCGCACTATTCTGGGAGTGCAGCATGCTTTTGCTTGGGCATTCAAGAAATGGCTCACGCCAGACAGCAATGGAGGCCTTTTCGAGATCGACGAGCTCGCTTCGAATCGGAGCCCCGGACACACTCGGGCAACGTGGTGGCGCCCGTGTCGCCGACAGGAGATCTCTGTCATTTCGCGCGAGTCGCCCTCCGACTCGGCGGCAGGCCTCCCCTGGTGTGGCTGTAAAGAAGCGGGGCCTCGATTCGAGACGTCTCAGTCGCTCTTCCACTCATCGCGTCCCGTGGGACACTCGAGCGCGTGCCACCGGGTGACGGCGCTCCGCGGGTTGGTCAACATGTCCTGCCAGTGTCGAAGCTCCTCGCCGCGCGCGTACATAAACGGCCCGAGTACGGTCTTGCCCAGCCGCCGAAAGTCGGCGCCGTCCGCCGACACCATGACCGTGAAGCTGAGGCTGCACGAGTCGAAGTACCGACCGGCCACGCCGAACGTGAACGCGTCCCCGAAGTTTGCTTCTTCACCCTCGCTCCACTCTCGGTTCTCGGACCGCTTCTCCTTGACGCACTTGCGGCCGTGATTCAGCGACAGCTTCACGTACACCCCTGCGCAAGACAGAGAAAGGCATACCAGGATCACGACATCCTGCCGATCGACACGTGTGGTTCGCAACTTAACTGCATTATATATATGCCATAAAAACATGGCGCATGCGTGTGTGTGGTATGGTATAGTACGTAACCATTTTTTTCCCGGATTACCACGTGGCTTCAATCCTTGCGTAATATGTACTCGCAAAAACTGCCCATTATTCTTGGCAGGTGTTATGGAAAAGGAGTTTCACAGAACGACAGTTGAAGCCATGACAAGATGGCGGCAGCCTGAGTGTACGTACCAGACATACACATATACGCCTGTACGACCCTTTAAGCGATAAGGTTACTTTGCTGCCACTGAAACTTTCCATTTCGTGCCCACCCCACGCAGTGTAGGGCGTGCATATTACCCGGTTTCGAGTTCTCAGCATGGCTAGAGTCATTGTTATGAATGAAGTACAGCTCTTCAGACGTCTGCGTTTGTTACGGGGCAAACAGGGTTTACCACAAAAGCAGTATGACTGATTTTTCCCCGCCAAAACTTGGTGAAGGAGGGCAGGTTTCCTGCGCTGGTGGAGGAAACTTAGGTACCAGTGCACCAGTCACCAGTCGTATCCAAGCTTTCGCGGAGTTTAGATTAAGTTCACTTAAGGGGAGCCCAAATGAAGGTACCTTGCCATCTCCACAGTGAATTTTGTTAGAGCAGCGTTAAGCGGCGAAGGTTTACTTGAAACTGGGTAAAACAGCACGTGAGACCCATGCCATGGTCAAGACGACCTATTTAATTAATGTTAACGGTCGATAGAGTGTTTTTGAGGGGCACGAGTAGTGTGGGGAAGGAGGGGATCAGCAACTGTCTGGATGCCCTTCATCGACGAAAAATTCCGACAATATGCCGATACACATTCCTTTCATGGACTTCTTGACAAAACATGACATCGCAAAGCTTCCCCAGCAACCCTAGAGCCTTGATGCCACTTTTTCAGACCTATTCCTCTTTGCTGACGGGAAAGGGTCATGAAAGGATGGTATGACGGCTCAATCCAGGCCAGTAAGAGGCCGTAACGAGGGAGTCAAGAGGATTCAGGTTTCTGTGTTGTATGAGGCTTCATTGGTTGGCATAATTGCCGGAAACGCTGTGCTGACGCAGAAGGGGCATATCTTGAAAACTAAGTCGGCCTGCCGGAGTGTTGAATAAACTTTAAACCGAAATTCACTCCTACTAATTTTCGGGCAGGCCATGTATTCGCCTAAGCGCGGTTCGCCACATTGTATGATAATCGTTCCACTGAGATATATCTGCGCTATATAGGCTAAACAGTGCGTTGAAGCCCGTAGAAATCAGTCTGTTGAATAATGCTCCTCAATAGTCACGGTTCAACGGAAGCAGATCACCGAGACCTTAAGTCCGAGAACTGACATTCTACAACGTTTGACGAACACCATGAATGATTGCAGGTGGCCTTGCAGGCCATACGGGCCGCAGGCCTGACGCTCAAGCCGGAGAAGTGTCACTTCTGCTTTGAGGAACTACAGTTTCTTTCTGGCCATGTCGTAAGTTACGCAAAAGTTCGTCCAGACCCCGAGAAAGTTGCCGCCGTCGGACAGTTTCCAACACCATCAGATAAAAAGGCAGTCAGGCGTTTTCTGGGTCTCTGTGCATATGATCGCCGGTTTATTCCAGATTTTGAGCGCATTGCGTCGCCTTTAACTCGTCTCACGAGTGATGACGTTGCATTTGTTGGGGGCGATGAACAGGAAGCTGCTTTCAATTACTTGCGGCAACGTGATCACACGACCGCCGTACTTGCCCATTTTGATGAGACAGCTCCATACTGACGCCAGCAATGTTGGCCTCGGAGCTGTGTTAGTGCAGCGCCAGGACGACGAGGAAAGAGTGATCGCTTACGCAAGTAGAACTCTGTCACGCACGGAAGCGAATTACTCGACCACTGAAAAGGAATGCCTCGCCGTGGTGTGGGCAGTTATGAAATTTCGCTCATATACCTTTACGGCCGCCCATTCAAGGTTATCAGTGACCACCATTCGTTGTGTTGGTTAACAAATCTGAAAGATCCTTTCAAGTGATTGGCACACTGGAGCCTTAGACTGCGAGAATTTGATATGACGATGGTGTATAATTCGGTAAAACGACACATGGACTCCGACTGCCTGTCTCGATTCCCAATAGAGTCGGCTGCTTCCCTTGATGAAGAGACAGCATTCCTCGGAATTCTCGACACGTCAACCATCGCAGATCACCAGCATTACAATGCTGAGCTACTTGGCTTGATTAATTATTTAGAAGGACGAAGCCAGAACGCGCCCAGAGCCTTTGCAAGAGGACTATCGTCGTTCTGGCTGCGAAACAATGTCCTTTATAAAATGAACTTCTCGTCAGACGGGTCCACCTACCTGCTTGTCATCCCTACCACTCTTCGTTCTGCGGTATTGCAAGCGTGCCAACACGAGGTCCCATCCGGACATTTAGGCTACACGCGCACACTGGGCAGAGTTGGAGGGCCTAGACTTACCGCAGCCGCGAAGCATCATATTCGGACTTGCCTCAATTGCCAGCGGCGCAAGTTACCTCCGACGAAACCAGCCGGTTTGCTACACCCTGTCCAGATCCCGACAACGACATTTGACCAGATGTGGACCTCTAGTGCTGGTAACCACTGGGGTATAGTGGCGACCGACTACCTTACTCGCTACGCTGAGACAAAAGCCATCCAGAGAGGCACAGCTGAAGGGGTGGCCCGATTCTTCATAGGAAGCGTTGTGCTGAGACACGGTGCGCCGTCGATCGTCATAACAAATCGCGGAACCGCATTCACGGCCGCGCTTTTAGATCATGTGTTGGTGCTCAGAGGTACTGTTCATCGTAAGTCGACAGCTTACCATTCACAAACCAACGGGTTAACCGAGCGGCTCAACAAAACTCTGGAAGACATGCTTTCAATGTATGTGGACATCGAACACAAAAACTGGGACGAGATTCTCCCTTACATAAAGTTTGCATACAATATACTGCTAAACAAGAAACCACACGGATGACCCCATTCAGCCTTGTTCACGCACGAGAAGTAAGGACGATGTTGGACGCGATGCTGCCACACGAATGCGATGACAACGAAACGAGTGCTGACACGTTTACTCAACGTACAGAGGAAGCCAGGCAGCTCGCACGTCTGCGAATATACCAACAGCAAGAGTACGACGAAGGTCGCTATAACCTTCGTCATACAACAGTAACGTACGAAACCGGGGACAGGGTACGGGTGTGGACGCCTGTACGAACACGGGGACAATCCGAAAAGTTGATCAGAAGATATATAGTTCGGACCTTATCGAGTGCTGCGACGACTAAGTGACGTTACCTACGAAATCGTCCCGGATAGCCCAAACTGTACAAGGCGTCGCCAGCACCGACCTGAACTTGTGCACGTAGTGCGCATTAAGTCATACGTCAGCGAGTGACTCTGCGAAGCACCGCCGCTTGTACAAAGTGACTTCATGCGCGAATGACTGGCTCAGCTATAGCATCGATGCTCTAGCATCGATGCTCTAGCATCGATGCTATAGCATCGATAGGGCGATGCTCTACTAAGGGGAGGCAAATGCCGCACTCTAAATAGACAGAGAACTAAGATGATGTGCGCACCAACAGTCTCGTGTCGTGAAAAGGGACACTGAAGAAGATGACGTGCCTTTGTTTATGTCTCTTGCTCTTGGCTCCTGCATAAAAACACACGCCGTCGGTTCTCGGACTCAACGTCTCGGTGATCAGCTTACGTTGAGCTATATATATATATAATATATATATATATATATATATATATATATATATATATATATATATATATATATATTATATATATATATATATATATATATATATATATATATATATAAAATAAGGGAAAGAAGTGTATACCTAAGGGCTCGTTTTTCCGTGTTTTTAACACAATATTAATGAGATATAACAGACAGTAATGCCAAGGAATGTACAGGGGAAGTTATTAAAATCAATGGAATATAAATAAGAGAAAGAAAAGTGGATGAAAAAATTACCAACTGTGAGCAGGAATCGAACCTACGACCTCCGAATTACGCGTTCGATATATATATATATATATATATATATATATATATATATATATATATATATATATATATATATATATATATATATATATATATATAAGAAATTCCATTTCATTGAGATAGTCATTATATGGACAATAAGCGGGTTTCTGCCGTCACCATCATGTCCCGTATATGTGTAGGTATCCACATATTTCTGCAAATCACGAAGAAAATTAATTCAGAAAAATATTTCCGACACGCGGAATCAATCTCTCGCTCCGCAGCGGGCGAGGTTATAACTGCTGAGCCATGAAAGTGCACGTCCTTCAATGTTCAAACGACCAGCTATTTATACACACCACTTACCACTTGCAGTACGCAAATTTCGGGGGGAAATGTAAGCGTCTTCTCAGCATTACCAGCGAGAGGGCTCTCGGCGCTTCGCTCGTCGATAGACGTGGGCCCATGTGCGCTCATCTCCTACGCGTACTTTGCCTCTCGAGGGGTAACACCCGAGTGCGTGCGCGCTGATCTCGCGGTGGGGGAGAATCACGCGTTTTGGGCTTTCACCGGAAGAATAGGTGACTAGTAAAAGAACGAGAGATTGTGGGATGCTCCTCTGCTACTGGCTTCCGGTTCGAGAAGAGTAGACGACGGCGAACCGGTTCGCCGCAAGCCTCAGATTATTCGGGATTCGCGCGCGCTGTCGCCCGTCTATCTTCGTACTGATAAACCATAGTCGGTTGTTGAGCCGTTGCCTCCTCCAACTCGAGGGCGAAAAGAAAACGGCGTGTATCGATTCCCATGGAACGAAGAAAGAAAAATGAGGTGGGCCGCGGCTGTGAAGAGAGCCACAGCGACAGGTAGTCTTTGAGTACCGAACGTTGAAGCCAGAGAGTGCGAAGGCCATTTTATCACAGGTACGTGTGTATTCCACACTAAAAAAAAGCTTACGTATGAATTTGTTCTGAATATTATATTGAGAAATAAATTGTACCGCAAATGCCTAGCAAATATATTATGAAAACGCGTGGGAGAAATCAACTTGTCATACGAGATGAGCACCGGTCATTGCCCTCATGTATGACAAAAAACGCAAAATCTTCACTCAAGTTTACACGAAGCACTGGACGAGTCCATTTGCGTTATCTTGGTCAAACTGTGTGCCAGGACAGCACCCAAAGAAGAAGTCCGTTAAAGAAGCGCAGGGTTTCGATTATTCGGCGCCGTCTGTCTGACTGTATTGTTCATGTACCGCCATGCCACGCAGCTTTATGAAGATCAGCGTTTAAATAAGCATCTGGCTTCGACTAATAAATACCCCTTATAGTGCGCTGAAGGCTAGAAAAAAAAAAGATATCTCAACGCACTCAATAAGTGCTGCGCTTCATGCCGACCGACCTACAATGTTGGCCGAAGCAGCGTTCCCTAAATGAACTCTGAGCACACTGCTACAGTCATCCCCATCCCCCGAGATATTTGAAATGGTGATTTTTTATCAGCAGTAACGTATCATACAATGAAAACTGTTTTCTGCATTGACTGATCTGCTAGCCAAACTGACAGTTCCCCCGAGCAGCATAAAAGCATTGCAGATCATTTTAGTGCGATAAAAAGCTTCGTTGCAGCTCATGGCTTTCGTAGCTTGTCATCGTCACAGTCATGGTTAGCAAAAAAAAAAAAAAACAACTTCTAAAGCACTGACATTGCACGCACGGAGAGGTGTTTTTTTTTTTTTTTTTTGCAACGGAGCTGTACAAAAATGCGCGCGTGCCAATGCTAACCCGCGTGGTGCGTCGAACCGGAAGCCGTCCTATCCCACAGTTCCCTGCGATTGCCCATATTACCGGTCACCTATTGCGTTGTAGATAACGAGCTCATGAAGGTTACTTCGCTCACTGCCGGGTCCCCGTTTGGGAAGAGTGCACTTTTAAACAGAGTGAAGTAACAACTTTAACAGTTGTTAGTTCACGCTCGCCCTTTCTGTACCTGCGAGTACGTTTTGTGCGTCGTTTTTGTGTGAGCCACGCACTGAGTGTCGAGCTGTCGAGCTAGCTATCGACGTTGTTAGTTCACTCTCGTCCTGTGTGTATTGTTTTCGTGCGTCATTTGTGCGTGAGCAGTGCGCTGCATGTTTCGATTTGCTTGGCATTCTTCGCGTGACATTCCAATTCGTTGCTATCGCATGAATTGCTTAGCAGTTGCCACGAAACAGCGGCTCTTTATATATCTTCGAGTAAAGAGATGCATTAGCGTGCCCCAAGAAGATATATATATTTTTTATTTCCTATACATTATGCATCCTTTTAAAGTTGTGATGAACTGTACACAGAAATAGTTGAATATTTTCGGCGTATGCTTCACGCGATTCGCCAATAAGCCTTTCTCACCAGCTCAATTTTTGCGGTGAGAATCGAAACTATGCTAGGGTCCTTCGTCTCTAAAGGGTGGAAATACTTACATTTGCTGGCATCCTCCTGCTTTGAAAATTTTCGCACTTTGAGTATAGACGCCCTGATACGGTTGGTGAACGGGTTGCAAGTCATGCAAATCTGGATCTCCCCAATCTGGGAACTTTTCTGCAAGAGGGAAGGAGAGAAAAAAAAGAGAGTTTAAAACGAACTTTCTCAGTGATTTAGGAACGGAAATTACTTCGTTTAACGTAGAGGTTTTGATCATATTGTTATTTAAAGCGCATATATTCGCACAAAGGACAATATCTTTTTAAGAATACAAAAAAAAACCTGCTCACTGGGAAACCCTGCTTTTGTTGAGAAGACTCCGTGGAAGGGACTCGACATCGGTAACAGGAGCATTGATGCAGCTGATTAAGCGGCAACTTTGCAACTATTTTGGTGTTATCTTTTCAGCTTCTTTCATCAGCCGACAAATGAAAACCAAGGCATCTCGGCAAGTAGCTATAAGAAGGTCTCTTTCAGCGCCTCTGAGTGTGTGTTGTTTCAATTAATATATTTACTAGGCGTCCCATCTTAGTGATGTGATTATCGTATGTCCGTTTTTTTTTTCGCAGAACGAGAAGTTTTCGGTTACACGCACCCAGTCTATTGAAATCTGCACTGGATTATAAACACTATTTCCCACACGTTCACGAAATAAAGAACAGCCATACAAATGGTCCTTTTAGACGATTTCGAGCCCATTCGCGCATCCTTTAATTGACATGAATGCCCACGAAAATGTGAAATTTACCAATATTTATCATATGTGGTGCATGATGCATGTTACAATCTTTAGCCTGGCGGAGCTACTTAATAAAATATGATTACACATTCTGTGGCCTCCATAAATTAAAACTACTTGGTCATTACGAATTGCGAAGTAGAATAACTGCAGGCAGAGAAAACAAAACAAGGTCACAAAGTCCCAGTCTGTGCTCTATATTTCACAGTTTTTTTAGCGGACCTTTCAAAAAGGCGCCATCGAATGAACTTTTGTGTTTACATATTTTAGTCACTTTCTTTAGGGACTTAATCACGTCTGCTGCATTTCACCCTAGTAGAAAGGGTACAGTAATGCTACGAATGCTCAAGAAAGTACATTTAATTAGGTTAGCAAGCATAATTTTAATACATATAGGCGAGGTAATTTTATAAGTCTTTCTTTTTAATGCGAGTAGCCTACATCTCACCGCCGAGTGCAGTGCCCTTCAACTGATTATAAGTCCATAAAGAGGATTTATAGTCAAATGCGTGCATTGTAACATTCTAGTCGATGGGAAGCTTGCGCTGCATGTGATAGCCCCAACATTCAGAGATAACGCAGGCTCTGAGAACGGCCAATTACGGGACGCGTCGCGGTGACTATACGAGCGCGCCACGGCTCCAACGTACTTTGGGCACATTGTCCAGGTCCATCCAGATGACTTTGTCCGGAGCGAGCGGTTCCTTCTCCAATTGCAGCGTGACGTGGCCCAAGCAGTGGCGCACTTTCTTGCGGTCGATGTCGTAGACGGACAACCGCAGTGATCGTGCGCGGACTTCGCCCTCCGAAATCTGCGCAAGAAAGGATACATCCATAGAGTTTCACACTGCCATGTGAAACTTATAGGAGCTGAAATGGCGACAGCCACATTTTGGCTCCCAAGTTGGATTCAGCCCAGAACGCCCTTTGGAACCCAGATGGGAACAATGGTCACTATTCTATCACAGGGCCTTGGCGATGCAATGAAAGGAGGAGCCGGGGTGAAAGGATAACAAACGATGGCGCTTCTCGCAACAAATATTGTCACCCCATGAACAAGGAGCTGGGCGGGTCTCAAAACGTCGGGCCCGCTTCGAAAACTGCGGCTGGGGCAACTTCATCCTCCCGAAACCTTCCCCGCTTGTATACAATTTCACAATGACCATTTCTCTCAGCGTAGCCTTTAGGGTATAAGCCAAAATTATAAAAATACTGTTTAAATATAGTTTGTTACCTGTTCGGAGTGCAAAGTTTTGCCTTGACCGTATCGAGGGCCGCACACATTTTCCCGCATTTGAATGGAGCTAATACGACCAGATTTCGAGAACAACTGACGAACATCCATGCCCTTATTTTTCTCATGCCGTGTACAACCTGAGCCTCAAGTGAATTTTTTAAAACCGAAACTGGTGGTTTCTCTTAGCTTGGTAGGCTTTTAAGAAGTAGTCTTGCTACCTAAAGGCACTTGGTGCATTGTTTTTAACACAGACGGCATTTACCTCTTCCACTTGCCTTGTGTGTGCGAGAGGCGCATAGACGTGATTCTGCAGAACCACGTCTCCTTGTGCGTCTCGTACACAAAACAAAAACTAGAAATAAATGCACATGAGCGCTACTTAAATTTCTGGTTGCACTATTGTTGATTTGCTTGTGGCGGCAAAGTATATTTTTGTGTTCACAAAGTCAAACAAGCTGCTTAGAAAACCAAGTAGAAAAAAAAAAAAAACGCCAAGCCTGCGCAGAACGCACAGCACAGTCACAATGAAAGCAGGAAGCGCGACTTTTCAGAGCCTCTTCTAAAGACTCTTTTGGTAACTGCTACAAGCACACTTTTTGGGTACCCACTACGCCATAAATAGCCATATGATATGGGTAGGAAGCCGGCATTCACGATGCTATTCTTCATCATTCTTCGGAGAAGTGCAAAGTCCCGGACGAGCTTCATAGTGGTTTTGGGACGTTAAACCCCACATATCAATCAATCAATTATCAATCGGAGAAGCACAGTACCCGCTAAACACTTCCCAGAAATTTTGTGCCAATTGTTCATGGCTGACGACGATGAGGAATTATGCCTGAAGTGGGTAGGCGCCAGAGTTTAAAGGTGATCAATAACAAGCTGTTGTAATGGGTAGGAGCATTGGATGACCCACTCGTTACGCTATTAGCAGTGTGTGACGCCTGGCTGTTCCTTTGCTGTTCTAAAAGTCTTTCTTACTCATCAACGTGATTCCCTTAATTCCCCACATAACGCCTGTCCGGATGACGGGACACCGGCGTGGCTCAGTGGTATAATATTAGTCTAACAGGCAGGGTACCTGGGTTCAAACCCCACTGTGTCCTCGGTGTCTTTTTTTTATGTACAGAGTTTTCTTATTTCGTGCGATAGTGGTTACGGGCACCGGTGGCGACAGCGGACAACTACAGCGCCACTCAAGACCAGTGTTTTGATCTCGTAACAGTTTGTGCTGTAAAATGAAATCGGCACGCTTCTGTTAATATATAACTGAAACTAGACCTGCAGCAGTCATGCGTAAAGAACAATGGTTACTACGCTCTGATTTCTTTGGAGCTTCGACAAAGCGCGATTACGAGTAAATGTTTAAAAAATGCAGAGGAATTGTGGAGCTCGTACAGAACACAATGGCTAAAAATGAAAACCCTCAGCGATACCAACTTTGAAACTGTTCTAAGTTTCAGCAAGGTCTGCATAAACAGAATAAATGTTTTTAATGTCATTTGGCATACCACCAAGGTGCAACACTGCGATATGATCGAGTGAGATCAAACGTCGTCGACAGTATTCTGCCGTTAGAGAAACAGATGATGGGTCAAAATAACCATGTGAACTAACAAAACGAACGAAAAAAACATCGAAAAGCTTATGTGTGTGACGACTACTGGTTTGGTTGCTATTAATTATTTTGTGTAGTAAGGCATTTTTCGTCTTTTTGAACAAAAATATAAATAAAATTGTTTTTTTTTCATTTAACTCTCAATACTTCAAATAAACGTTTTTCTTACATTTGCCCCATTATCAGAACAACTTAAAAATACATTATGACATGTGGCAGCGCACCCCCGGGGAAACAATGAACACGAAGACAAGGGGACAACACAAGCACTGAACTTTAACTTACTTTAATCGAACAAGAAAATCGCTTAAAGTAAATATTTTCTACGCATGCGTCTCTTTACACGTGGACAAGGCCTCTAGCAAATATCAATACCAAGGGCATCAGATCAAACAGCAGCAATGAAGTTGCATAAGCAGAGGCATCACACAGCACTAAACATGGGAATACATAACATTGTCATGTGTTCATAAGTGAAAAACTTCTTTTTCTTTTAGAGATAGAGTAATCGGAGGGCAACTTAAGCCGCTTCCTTCCTCTCAAAAACTTCCGCCACTTATACAATTCCCTGCGCTAATTTCCCGTTTAAAGACGGTAGCCTTTCTTTGTATACTGCAACCCAAATATGTTGGTCTGTTTGTGTGTCTGTCTGTATGTCTGTCTGTCCATTTGTTCAGTCACGCAGCAAAAGTTTAAGCCCATACTCGAATCCCACGCATCTTTATCTGGTGGCTGCGTTCGTACTTGTTAATGAAAAAGCAAATATTAGGCATATTTGAGGCGCAACTTCAATATAAGTGTTAAGCAGTGTGTCCTTTTATTTAGAAAATGAATAGAGAAGTAATTACAAAGACCGGAGAGTTCCTTACCCTGCGCTGACAATGCGATGCTATGAACAAAAAGCTCGCTTTTTCTACGTTTCACTAAAAAACGCAGGGGTGTTTACTAAAACGACCCGGCGCTGCCATCTACCAGTGGCTCTACGTTCTAAAAAAACCTTCGTTTCTGCACATTACTGCGAGATGGCGCATTATGTCAAGCAACGCCTCCAGACACAAGACTATCGTCTTTCGACATCTTTTGCAGGGAAGTATGGAGATACGCGGCCATTTTTTTTCTTGCTCCTTCCCTTCATTTTTGCTAACGCAGGTCCGCAGCCGCAGTCCATGCAGTGTAAGGCAAGATGGTCTGCCTCCATCTTAGAGCAGTGATAATTGTGCTTTGTAAGCCTCGTGTTGAGGCATTTACTCGTCAGTATGACGTACACCTTGGCACACGTCAGCAGTGTCGAATACAAGACAAGCACAATGCAGGTGAGGTAAGGGTGCCTCTGCTTTATCATCAGGGTTTCCTGTGTTATTTGGAAGATGCGAAGGCTGTTTATTTTTACCACAATAAAGTATACACCAATACAAAGTTATTTAGCTTGAATGTTGTACGTAAGCAGAATATTTTATTTTTATTTTAAAAATTTTGACAAAAGGCGTTTGCCTTGTTTAAAAAAGTCATAAAAATTTCAACACTTAAGATACTATTTTAACCTTTTGAAGTTGAATGAGTTGTTGCTACAAAAACGTTTTGAGAGCATGACATTCGCTCACATAATTTCGAAGCTCTGCGTGGTGTCTCATAGCACAAGCAACTTACAGAAAAGCTGAACGCGCACTGCAGAACAACGCCACCGGGATCAAACATGTTGCTCGAAGGTCCAATGCTCGTCGTGATCGTGTTTTCCCTTTTGAAGGCTATGTATAATGAGTTGAGGTGTACTTTAAACACGCTGCCTGCATTTCGATGATGTGATCGCTGAGTGTTATTTTATTTCTCATGACTATAACAACCTATATATGCGTCGTTTGTTAGATGTCAAGCTTTTCAAAGACGTATCTATCTTTGTCGTTTCACTAGCGTGATGTCAAGAATCCGTTCTTCTGTTCTTTGCTTTATGTACATATACGCGACGCAGGCGAGCCTACGAGAATGCTCTACAATAGAAATGACTTTTGAACAAAAAGAAATAAAGCAAACAGTGAGCGTTCCGGCACTGTCGACGCGAGCTACTAACAGAAATGCTGATCATCTTATTAAGATATTTGCCCTTTAAGAATTTTCGCATGTTTGACACTTTGGCGGAACACATCAGAAACGGAAGTCGCTGACGCAGTTTTACTATTTACACGGAAGTTTTAAAGTTCAAGAAAAATCCTTTTTGACGACACTGCATCTGCAAGCAGCCATGCTAAAGTAAAAGCATGGCTGATGATGATTGTCACACTCCTTCTTGAGCTGGCAAACATACCTTGAATGTGAGGGTTTCGTTAAATTTTGGTGCCAACGTCCGCGTCTTCACGGTGCTCTGCTGGAAAGTATCTTCATCTGGCAACAAGTAGGCCCGGACAAATGGATCTCGAGGAGTGTTTGTGAGGCCACGACCTGCGACAGTACGTGAGAAAAAAATATCATGATGAAGAGGGTGGGAGGAGGTGTCGTCAGGAACGGGCAGCTGAAATTTCCTGACGATAATACGTAAGTCACAGTTTTGCCACTAAGGCGAAGCAATGAACACGATAGCAACCAATTTGAAGGTCACGCGCAAAATGGCAAACAGATCTAAATATTCTCCGTGTTTCTCACGCAGAAATGACGCACGAAACGTACTCGCAGGTACAGATGAAAGCGAATAAGCGTCTCAGTTGTTACTTCGCTGTGTCTGAAATGCGCGACCTTTTCACAAACAGAGACTGTGCAACGATTGCAGTGACCTTTGTGCACCTGGTCACTACAACAGAATCGTTCCGGTGAAATCCGAACGCGTACGATAATCTCCCCACGAGATAAGCAAGCCCACACGTGAACGTCAATTCTGCCCCCTCTACGTGGGGCAAAGTACGCGTAGGAGATGAGAGCGCGTGCCGCCGCGTCGTGATGATTTCGCGACGTGCGCTCATTGCGCCATCTCCTTGGCAATGCTGAAAACACGATAGCTCTTTCCGAGATGCCCGTCACCAGCGGTAAGTGGTTGATATAAATAGCTTGCCACTTGGACGTTCAAAGAGGTGCTCCTTCGTTGCTCAGTGTCTAACGCCTCGCACTCACAATTCAGAGGTCCGACGTTCGATTCCGCGCATCGGAGTCATATTCAGGACCTAATTTTTCTTTCTTGCGCTTTCATTTATATAGATACGTATACATATACGGTGAATGACGGCGACACCGGCGCAAAATCCAGCTGAGTGCCCATATAACCATTATTGCAATAATATATCAGATATGTCACGTTTTTAGCATATGGGACCTCTTCCACCGGGATGCAACTTTACTTTGCCGCCTTTGTGAGTGAACGCAACGTGCTACACGAAGCGTAAAACAAATTAGCTAATAGCCCTTTTTCCCGAAAAGAAAATCCGCAGTTCATAGCTCTACGCGTCGCAGGCCAGCAAAGCTACGTAGGCATTGCTGTGTTTCTTAAAGCTTATAGGACTGAGTGACTGCTTATAAGCGTGCATTGGACAGGCGCAAATGTACCCTGACGGTGCGCTCTTACCTCTCCTCTCTTCCTTTTATTTGAATACGCTCACCACTTCCCCGAGTGCAGGTTAGCAAACCAGATGCATGTATAGTTTCCCTCGTTGCCTTTCATTTCTTTCATTTCCTCTTGAGCGTACACACACACACACAACACACACACACACACACACACACACACACACACACACACACACACATATATATATATATATATATATATATATATATATATATATATATATATATATATATATATATATATATATATATATATGTGTGTGTGTGTGTGTGTGTGTGTGTGTGTGTGTGTGTGTGTGATTGGCATGAGAGGTTAAACTTCATGTTGTATTCAGTCCAGCAAGGTGCCAATTAGCGTACCGGGCCACAACAACAATTGCAACAATGCAGAAGGCAGCATGCAGTCACTGTTCATCGCAAGACGATGATAGCTCCGTTATTTTCATTTCATTCTAAAATATTGCTCACCTGGTAGATATTTGGCCTTTATGATGTTCACGTTGAGCTCCTCACTTTCGGACTTGTAGTTTAAGCTGAACCATAACCTGCCATTTGTGCATCTTGGTACCGTAGCGTCTTCATCATCAGACCAGCTGTAACTGTGTGCACAAAGGGAAGTCAGCGTGAGTGTTCCGCGGACACAGATCACAGTGCACTGAATAAATGCACGTTTAGCGACCACGTTACTGTACAAGACGTAACGTTACTGTACAAGACTGTAACACACGCTTGTTTTTACAAGCGTGTGTTAACCGTATATAGAATGAATCAGGATAATGAAAAGTGACATAAAGAGGCATTTCCATCCGAGGGCATCTTCAGCTGATCCATTGAGACAGGAATACGCCTAGCGCTTTACTGTTCGAATCGAAGCTGCATGCGCTTGTGCGATTACGCGCTATATTTTTTAGTGCTATATGACTGTGTAATATTGATCTGAGGTGTAGATTTTCATTTACCCTTTGTATTTGTGAATGTCTTTTTCTGATGCTGCTGAATGGGTGGCATGGCCCAGTGAGTCAATGTTTGCCTTTTGCCATGTCTCATTCGACAATCCTATAATTGTTCTTAATAAACTATTAAAGAAACAAACAAAGAAATATAATGTGTCTCCTTCAAAGAAGCGCGCGAGCACATTTCACCGCATATCTTTTCTTTTCCTGGGCTGCAAAGAAAACAAAAAGTTGATTGAGTAGAGAGAATTTATACGCAACACAGTTCTTTCTGAACTTCTGGCATTCAATGCACATAAATCCCCAGTCCATCTTTCGGGCTTCCTATGACAGCGATAGCTGGGCGAACTCCTCCTTTATTTCAATGCCAGTGCAAACACGCGCTTCTCAAAAGGAGCCGTTGGTCCGCCTTAGTTCAGGGAGTGGTCGTGATGCAGCGCTATGAGCGGTCTCACTGCTGGGGTCACACGTGCGTCCGAGCGCTTTTCCTTGAAGATGCGATAGACGTGTTTACCACTCCAATACAATCCGTGTGTCAGATTCGTTCCTCCATGCTGCTTCTTTGTGGCTTGAGAGAATGCCCCCGCCGCGTTACAGAGCAGCGCATGCAGAAACGTTGCAGTGACGCTTCCCTGTTGGTTGCGCGCATATCGCCACCAACGGCGACACGCTATCTACAAACACCGTATCTTTCACAGAGCCAGAGTAACTGCCGACTCGCTCTCTAGATTTCGTGCCGACCGGTTGTGCCCCTGCGATCTCCGATGACAGCGCAGCTCTGGCCGACTGGCTCGCCTACGCCATCTCCTGCCGCCGACAAGAGCTCTCACTGAGGGGTGCCCCGTCCTCGGACTCCTGGGACCGTGTCCATCTTTCCTATCTTCTCCTCGCTTCTGGATGCCGCTGTCCCTGCGCCACACTATATCCTTCCTCCTCTCAATTTTTATACATTTAATCCTATCCTTTTAATCCCTTCTTACCCCCATCTCTCGTAAGCTAGTGTTTGCACTCTGATGCAGACAGTTACGGGGCTCACTTTTCTCTTCTTTTCTCTTTAAGAATCACATAAGCGTGACTGCCAATAAGGTTAACACGAGGTATGCAAGACGCTGCCCCACGGATCTGTACATAACTGAACAAAAAATTACTTTACATGATTTCTACCATGAGGCACTGCATGAGGGGTTACTCTTCCTCATGACGGCAAATCACACGCGAAGGCTCGGCGATGCGAGAGAGCAGGATAGGGCTAAAGGAAAGGGTGGTGAACAGTTGGATTGGGCGCATCTGGCTGGCATTGATATTATAGAGGAGGCGTTGGCTCGACAAACGTTGCAGCAGTGATAAACCACAGAGCACAATTAATCAACTGAAGTGTCGTATTTATGTGGCACAGGTGAATAATGTAAAATACACTTTGATGTTTTCAGTTATATGCCTTTCAATAAACAGGTAACACGCCTTGTAGTACATCTCAGCTCATTATCAGCGTAGCTTTGGATCTATAACCACGACATTTAAATCATAAGTATTCTTGTACCGTGGTCCCAATTTAATAATCTTTAGTTGGAAAAATGCGCTGTGTCCTCGTTCTCTCGCTCGTTTGGTGTCTGTTTTTTTGCGCTGCCTTAGTTTATGACTGACACGCTTAACAGTTGCACTAAATTGTCAATGCACTGTGAGCTAAGAAGTCGGTACCTTATACATTTGCCTAAGACGACTCAAAGGTGAAATCCATCTCGTCTCAGTCGTATTCGTAGCCCTCACCCCGTCCTCCCCGGAGGTTCCTGCTCCCTACGGGGTTTTGCCCTGCCTTCAGGTTTGAAGGCGTTGAAAGCTTTTCGGTGTGCCCATGGTTTTGCAGTGCATCCCCGCACCTTTGGCCAAGACTCGGTCACGTAATGATGTCATTATATGACTTAAGGGTGATGTAACAGATTTTCGTGACTTGCGACGTCATATTAGAATTTTTCGCATCACTCGTGTTTGACGCCGCCCCGCCGTGGTGGTCTAGTGGCTAAGGTACTCGGCTGCTGACCCGCAGGTCACGGAATTGATTCCTGGCTGCAGCGGCTGCATTTCCGATGGAGGCGGAAATGTTGTAGGCCCGTGTGGTCAGATTTGGGTGCACGTTAAAGAACCCCAGGTGGTCAAAATTTCCGGAGCCCTCCACTACGGCGTCTCTCATAATCAAATGGTGGTTTCGGGACGTTAAACCCCACATATAAATCAATCAATCAATCAATCATGTTTGACGCCGAAGGTCACTTGTCGCTATCGATGAGGCATTAAGACTTCCGCCTCAAGAACTTGCCGTGACGAGCGCAGCTGCTGTTATACTGATGATGTAACAGATACAAAAAAAAACCCTTAGATTGTGAAACCAACACAAATGCTATCATGAACTGAACTTTTGCACGTACTGAAATCACTCGTACTTGTGGCAAGCATGGCGTTATCCTACAAAGCAAAATTTGCAGCTTTATGAAGTGCTACTTCGAATACTGATAATGTTTACTGTTAAAAACACGCAAGGCACGCAGTAAAGTTTTATTCAGCCACCATCTTATGATTTTTTTTTCGAAAAAGGAGTGGGCTTCTCACGTGTACCGTTTACCCCATTTTCGTGCACGACGTGTCGCCCATAATACACAAATGGTAAATAGGGCATGCCCGCCGTGGTTTGTGGCTAAGTTACTGCATTGCTAAGCCCAACGATGTAGATTTGATTCATGGTGGTCCCATTTTAGTGAAGGCGTACCACAATTAATCCCATGTATTTATATGCACGGTAAACAACACCAATTAGGTAGTACAAATTGATCCGAAGTTCCCCGTTACAGCATTCCTCATAATCATATTGTAATGTTTGCACGTACTCTATAAAAAAGCGCATATAAAACGTACGCGAACCCTGGCAGATGATCGTTTATGTGGCAGACTAATGTGAGGTCTATTGGCATGGACATGGCGCATATGAGCCCTCACCGATCCAGTGAAGGAGCGAAAGTTATTTTACTCCGTGCTCGATCCTATAGGTATAGTTGCCGTCAACGGCGTGCGCAGAAATTTGTTTTGGGTGGGGACACGTTCTTGATCTAAAGATGGGACCTCGCAGACATGTGTGTTCGAGGGCCACCTCGTGCTTTGTACCCAATAGCAGAACGACGTTTCGGTAGGGACCCGTGCTCGGTGTGCTCCCCACCCCCTCCCTGGCTACGCCACCGGTTGTCGTCCTCATTTTGCTTGTTTGAGCCTTACATTTTTTTTCTCTCTTTATGTAGACATAGCGTGTCTATTTAGTTTACTACTCTAGAGAGGAAAACGAACTTAACAAAGGGCAAATAACAAAATGGGTATCGGCAAGGGGGAGCCCTACATTTTCATGTTTAGCAGCAATTTTCTGCTACAGTTATCAGAAGTAAAAAAGTGGCACAAGGGCTTATCACGCAAATGGAACATTCGTAATTGCTTTGCCATGACTGACGAAACCATAGGAGTTGATGACACAGCGAGAATGCTTTAAAAGATAATAAGTGAATAGGGAATATTCAAAATGCGTACTGCCATTGCAACATTTCCCGCGTTCGCCATCCTTTTCCCAGTGCAGTTGTGAACTTCTGACGCAACTGTACACACTGAAAGGCTCAGGGATCGCCGCTGTCAAATGCAACACTCGTCTCCTCCACCTGAAGTTGCTGTATACTGGCGCGAATACATGAAACCACGCTATAGCCACCTTTCAGCGACGTACTGGACGTCAAGTACGTTAATATTGTACTGGCACGTAGCATGACCCCCATGCACTGGCACGTAGTATGACCCCCATGCACTGGCACGTAGCATGACCCCCGGCGGCGGAGGCACCGTCCCGGTGCTTTAAAGGTCGTTATCTGACGCATTATTGTAGGGCTTGATCCGCGAGACGTGTACGATATCACTGGGCCGCATAGTAGATGATGATGGACAGATGGGGCTGATCTCGTAGGTGACAGGTGTTACTTGACGCAATATACGGTAGGGTCCCGTGTAATGAGACAGAAGTTTTTCGGATAGGCCCAGCAGACGATGAGGGGACCAGAGTAAAACGAGGGTACCGGGAGCGAAATGTACGTCTCTATGTTCCGCATCGTACCGACGGCATTGGTTGGTTTGCGACGCCATCAGCCGAGCGCGAGCGAGCTGAGGGGCATGATCGGCTCGCGCAATCGCGTCGCGGGCATGCCCGCTGGTGGAAGAGGTGTGAGCTGAGATGACCGTGTCCAGTGGTAAAGTCGGCTCTCTTCCGTACAACAAGTAGAACGGCGAAAAGCCCGCTGTGTCGTGACGGGATGAATTATACGCAAAAGTTGCGTAGGATAAGGCAAGGTCCCAGTCTCGGTGGTCGGGCGACACGTACATAGCGAGCATATTTGTTAAAGTGCCGTTAAATCGTTCCGTGAGGCCGTTTGTTTGAGGGTGGTAAGCGGTTGTCAGTGTGTGTTGCGTGGAACAAGAACGCAGAATGTCGGCGATGACTTACACTCTAAAAAGTAAAGGAGGAAAAGGGGGGTCGAGGTTACTCCTTTAGAGGAGTAACTGACTTGCCACACCCATTGCACCATTTCGGGAGTAACTGCGACGGGAGGAACCGTTACTCCCCAATT